CAGTTTCAATCGATGACATTTCAGACGAACTAAAGAAAAATAATGACATTGACGATTTTCAATTTAATTTTACTTGTCTTAATCATGATTCCATTATTGATGATATTCTCAAACTTAGTAATAATTTTATAACTATTATACGCATTATGTGTTATATTCTTAGATTCATTAATAATGTAAAAGGTAATAATAGGATTATCGGACACCTTACGCATGAAGAAATAAGAAAAGCAGAGGTAAAAGTTCTTCAAATTGTTCAACAGGATCATTTTATGCAGGAAATAAAAAATCTCAAAGAAGGTAAGAGTGTTCCAAATAACAGTAAGGGGAGATCCTTAAATTGTTTCTTGGATAATAACTTTATTTTGAAAGTGGGTGGAAGATTAAAAAATTCTAACTTAAGTATGAGTAAAAAACATCCCACAGTTCTGCAAGATAAACACCCTGTAACTTCGATTATTGTAAGATATAATCATTTAATCTATTTACACGTAGGTTCCAATACATTGTTATATCTTTTAAGACAAAAATTTTGGATAATGAATGGGCGTAATATTTGTAGAAAATTTGTACACGAATGTCTTGTTTGTTATACACTCATGTCCATAAATTAAGGATAATTCAGAATCACACGAAAATCAAACTCTAAAATTAAAATTTCACCTCTGGAATTATCATACACATCCTACAGGAAACCACTAGATGACGCTGGTAGTACGTCACAATGACGAGAGTGTAAGAGAGGGGAAAATAAGGAATGGTGGCAAAGAAGTAAAATTGTTCACAAGCGCTTTAAAAGCCTTTCAGTGCAATAACCGCATAGTTATGGCACAAAGGAAGCATTTGGATGATTTTTTACGTGGCAGAATCATCCGACGACTGAAATGTGGACGTACCCAGCTGGAAGTATCTGGTGCTGAATTTCTGTTTATGGACGACAATGCCCGTCCTCACTGTGCAAACATTGTAGACAAATGCCTTCAATCGGAGTATATCACCCGTATGGATTGGCCAGCATACTCACCGGACTTGAATCCAATAGAGCATGTGTGGGATATGCTTGGCCAAAGAATTACAGCCCATCAACCCCCTCCCACCTGTCTACCGGACTTTCGGAGGGCATTGCTTGATGAGTGGTGTAATATTCCCCAAGATCACATTGATAATTGACACTCAGCTTGCCTAGGCGTTGTACGGCCTGTATTGCATCGTCCGGGAGACATACTCCGTATTAACCATCATACTTACCATGTTATACTGTTTCTTGTAAATATGTTCTTTTTTTAAATTTGCTCCAGGAAGTAAAAATCGCAATTTTTATTAATTATTTCAAACATATAGTCAAATTTGTTTGGCTTCTGTCTCTTTCTGTGCCTGAACTTCATTATCCTTACTTTATGGACACGAGTGTAAAAGTTAACCTGTTTTGGAGAATCAAGATTTGCCAAAAGAAAGAGAAACCCCTAATTTTCCCTTTATGAATGTGGGAACCGATTTCTGTGGTCCGTTCTATGTAAAATTTAAAAACCAACGTAAGGGACAATTGAATAAAGTATACGTGTGTACATTAATATGCCTGAGCACTAAAGCCATTCATTTAGAATTTGTAACAGATCTTACATCTAAGCATTTATTGCATGTTTAAAGCGTTTTTTTGGTCGTCGTGGCAAATGCTCTAAATTGTTTAGTGACAATGCAAAAAATTTCGTTGGTGCTAGTGTAGAACTTAAAAAACTACATAGAATGGTTAAGTATCCTGATGAGATCTTAGCAAATTTTCTTTCCAGTCAAGAAATTGAGTTTAAATTTATACCTCCGAAATCACCAAATTTCGGAGGAATTTGGGAATCGGGTGTAAAATCCTTTAAGCATCATTTAAAACGTGTAGTCGGAAATTCTCATTTAACTCTTGAAGAGTTCGTTACAATAATTGTGGAAATAGAAAGTGTTCTTAATTCAAGACCACTTACTCCGTTGTCCTCCGAGTTTGATAATTTTGAAATTNTATGGACTAGTTTTATTACCCAAGTGTTTACTCAAATGGCTTAATGTTGATTATTGCTATTCTTTTAGCACAAACCAATATTTTTCCCTTTAAATATTGTAACTTTAAAGAAAAGTGCGTTTCATATTATTTTGTTTATTTTCAAATTGGTGCGGTTTTAATGTGATATTCTTTGAATAAATTTCTAATTGGAAAGCTGCCCCCTTAAATAACAATAATATATAACTTTTAATGCCTAGATAGAATATAAAGGAACCTAAGTTCCCGAAAACTGCTGTAAAGTTTTTTTTTTAATTCAGTTGTAAAATAGAGCTATCTTAAAACGTTATTTTTTGGGAAGAAGAAAAGAAACTAATGTTGAAAAATTGAATAAAAAAAGGTGTTATGTATTAACAACAAAACTATTTTAATCTCGTTTTCGAAATTTTCCAACCATAAGAGAAGAGATCAAAAACAACCTAACTCTTTCTCTTGAAACCTGAGCGGCTCCGCGAAGTTTCTGGTTATACCAACATGGGCCGCCGCTACTTGACAGTTACTTCACTCGCACCAATAGGGAAGGGGAGGAATGCCCACTCCTTCTTATTTATAACTCTATGGCCGATACAGCAACTTTCGCTTCTGGCGATGCATCAGAAATCTGATTTAAGCCGTAGACTGAAGACGACGAGCTTGGATCTTCTTGCCACTGATACCGACTCGCGCTGTGGAAGATGATGTTCGTTATGTTGAAATGACCTTGATTGATGAGTGGTAGAATCAGAACCATAGTTTTGAGAATATATATATATATATCGTGATCTCGCATGTTCGTTTTCGCGCCTCCGAGTTTTTTTTCTTTTTCCTTGTCGCGACTCGAGATCGTTTCTTGTAGATTATTTTCAGTGGGACTGTCTCTGTGATCGCCATCGTTACCTTGTTCTGAACGTAATCTATTATTGAAAAGAATATATAAAGAAGTGTTTTTTGATTCATTCTTTCTCCTTTGGATTTGGACATAAGTCAATCAACTTTTCTATTCGAAAAAATTAGTAAGGTTTGCGACTTCCTTTTTTTTTTAATCATTTAACACCTCGTTTTATTAAAGAGTATAATTGT